ATTATCCTAGTGACTTCTTTGACAAATACATTGTGACAGTCAGAAGGCAAGGAGCAAGATATGTGCTCTTCTGGCAGCTCTCTCTCTCTCTCTCTCTCATTGGAAAATCCCTGACCTTTCTAGCAATAGGTGTACAGTATTTTTCTTTCTGCACCTTTGGCATAACTGTCCTGTTTTGCATCTATCAGTTGCATATTTGGTGGTAACACAGTAACTTTGTTGAAGATGCCTGTGTGACATTTAGTAGGCATGGCAAGGCATTCCTATGCCTCAAATTCAGAACTCCAGCATAACTTGATATCCATGTCCAAGGAGTTAAGAAAAAGATGTAAGCATGTTATAGTCTGGTATCTCAATAGATATGTATTGAGATATCAGTGTGTGTGTTCACAACAGGAATCAGGAATGTAGCACCTTCCAAATGTTACTGTTGCAGTTAACACCCATCAACCTTGACTAACATGGCTGACTTGGGTCCAAGCTACCTAAAAGACCATCCTTTATGAGCCTACCCAAGTGTTAAGATCATCAGGGGAGGCCTTTCTCTCAATCCCACCACCCTCACAGGTGGGTATAGTGAGGACATGGAAGAGGGCTTTCTCTGTTGCTGCTACCAGCAGGCTGTCCTACTTGGAGCACATCATGAGAAGGCAAGGTTCTCTGGATTTTCTAGGAAAGGTAACAATGCTGGAAAAGGAGGAAGGCCAAATATGAGATGGATTGACTCCCTAAAGGAATGCACAGGTTTGAGTTTACAAGAGCTTAGCAGAGCAGTTGAAGACAGCACGTTTGGAGATCGCTCATTCAAAGGGTTGTCATGTGTCAGAGGTGACTTGACGGCACGTAACAGCAGCAGTGTGGTCCTGGATGCGAAATAGCTACCCTGTAGCCTTGCTCAACATCCTGTCCAAGCTTTTACTACATCAACTGCTCTTTAAGGGCATGGAATTGAGGAAAACCTCTGTCTTTTCATTCAAACCTATAGTTCTCCAATTAGAAATCCTAGCAATTATGCACCTAGAACGAGCTGGAATTTTTAGCATATATACATTACTGAAACAGCGACGTCTACGTTGGCTTGGGCATGTTGTGAGAATGGCTGATGGTTGGATTCCAAAAGATCTCCTGTATGGAGAATTAGTGCAGGGAAATCACCCCAGAGGGAGACCACAGCTGTGATACAAGGACATCTGCAAGTGGGATCTGAATGCCTTAGGAATGGACCTCAACAAATGGGAAACTCTGACATCTGAGCATTCAGCCTGGAGGCAGGCAGTGCAGCATGGCCTCTCCCAATTTGAAGAGACCCTTGTCCAGCAGTCCGAGGCAAAGAGGAAGTCACAAAATCAGCAAAGTCAGGGAGCTGGACAGGGGACAGATTGTATTTGTCTTTAGTGTGGAAGGGATTGTCACTCAAATTGGCCTCCTCAGCCACACTAGACGCTGTTCCAAGTCCTCCATACAGAGTACATTACCATAGTCTTTCGAGACTAAGGATTCCTAATGGTAAATGGACTGATTTATATGTGCATGCATGTTCCTCAATAAATGTCTGCAACAACATCAAATCTCTTACATTTTGTGGAAGGATATTGTGTATGTGTCTATAAATATCACATGTATTGTTCTTCAGTGGAGACATTTTATCTTCTAATAAACAAATATAATCTGCTAGTAAACAAATATATAGTAATGGATGTAGAGAAGTTGAGTGGTGGAATTGCATGTATGAACCAGCTCTACATTTTGTTTCTGCAGCTGGGGAGACAAAGCCATCTATCTTCCTGAACCCAGGTAAGTAATTTTGCATTTGATGTCCCATGTTTTGTGATGTGAAGGCCCTTTTGTTGGCATGGGAATAAAACTGAGCTAGAGATCCAGAGCTCAGGGTTCCCCCCCTTACTTTGACTCTAGTCTGCCAGCTCTGTCAATCAGCAGAGAAAGGGGCAGAGGGAATCTATTTACAAAACAAAACAAAGAAATTCACAAGGACACTGTGCTTGGCTGTGCTCTAACTTCCTGCTTGCAGAGAAGGTAGTCTTTGACCAGTGTGGCAAAAGGGATGATCGAATGCAGGTGCTAGCTCCTGTTACTGGAGGACGGGCTCGTATTGTAGGAGGACGCCCAGGAAACTCACCTTGGACAGTCAGCATCCGCAATAGGTGAGAAGAACATGGCACGATTGTGATGTTGATGATGGTGTGGTTCCATATAGGTTGTGGTTGTACAAAATTCTGACTATGAACATGGGAAAGTGCTCAGAAAGGAAGGAGGAGGTTAAGAGCAACAGGTGAACAGAGCAAGGGGCATCTTTGAGCCTGCAGGTTGAGAACAATGGATAAGAATGTAAGTGACTTTGCAGCAGGGATGATTGGGTCACAAGAGGCAGCTTCCTTGAGTTCAAGAACTGAACCAGGCTGTGGGTGAGAGGACTTTCTGGAGGTCATAGGGTCACCATAACTCGAAGGCAACGTGACAGCACATAGCAAAAATAACAACATTGTGCTTTCCCTTTTCATGATTTCTAGAGAAGGAGTCCATTTCTGCGGAGGGTCACTGGTGAAGGAACAGTGGGTTATTAGCACCCGCCAATGTTTCTCTTCTTGGTGAGCATCTTTTTGACTTTTCCTTAGTGATACTGTTCAGGTCATCTCTTTCTAGCTATCTTAAGCAAGATTACACTGCTCTGAGTTTTTGGGTGTCATCTAATTTTGAATTCATCAGATGGGACCAGTTTAGGAGGCTTTCTCAGCAGAGTACAGTGGTACCTCGATTTAAGGACTTAATCCATATTGGGACTGCATTCTTAAGTCGAAACGTTCTTAAGTTGAAGCACCGTTTTCCTATTGAAATGCGCGGGAATGGGATTAATACATTCCAGCATTTGAAAAAAAAAAATACCAAAATAAAAATAAAC